AAAAAAAGGCAATAATCGAAGAACAAAGAAGGAGTCTTTAAGCCAGATACCGGTAATCAAAATTAAATTGCTTTTTTTTCTGGCTTGGATGAAGACTGGCAAGTACCATCCCCCAGACAGGAGTTCCTGCCTTCAGCTTGGCATTAATTGATTTATGTTTTCTGATGAGGACACAAGGAGGCAGGGGAATTTCATTTCAGGGACTGCCTGTTTTTTAAAGGCTATGAAAGTCTTCTCTGCTACATTCAAATACTAGTAAACATAATAACAGCTAATGTTAAAAAACTTGCCAGATGAAAGACACATGGTAAGTATTAATTGTTTACCATACTGATCCAAATAAAACTTCTAAACCGCATGGTACTCTTCCCTCCACATTACATAGTAGAATGACGGGGCATTAGACTATCGGTAGAGGAGGTTTTTTGTTATTTGCCCAAGGCAGTGCAGCTATTAAATGCTGATACGATTCCAATGTAGCCTGTGCTTGTAAAGTCTGTTAAGGATGCTCTTGAGATAAGAGTTTACATGTCTATAAAATTCTTACTCAACAGCTCTTGCATTTAGTTATTAAGCCAACACAGAATAATATGAGCTGTTGTTATCAGTGGATTGCACATTCTCCAATTTGACTACTTTAGAATAGAAAAGAAAAATTGCATATGTATTGAATATGTTCAGACTTTTCATGTTAGTATTCCCTAAGCAATAGAATGTAACCAAAGTCTCCCTGTGTTGGGCATTGTAAATAATCTAGAAGTGGTTTGATGTATTGGGGGGGGGGGGGGATGTGTGTAGCTGGAGTTTTCTCTCCAGGCCCTACCAAGCCCCGGCAGTTTGACAGCCCACTTATAAAATAAACACACAGATGCTTATATTTACAAACTGTATGGCCGTGGCAGGCTTCCTGCTAAGTTCTTATATCTTAATTAATCCATTTCCATAAATCTATACCTTGTCACGTGGCTCGTGGCTTACCGGCATCTTCACATGCTGCTTGTCATGGTGGCCGCTGGCAATGTTTCTCCCACTCAGCCTTCCACTTCCCAGAATTCTCATCTCTCCTTGTCCCGCCTATACTTCCTGCCTGGCCACTGGCCAATCAGTGTTTTATTTATACAGAACCATATCCACAACAGATGTGGTTAGATTATTTGCAAACACGACATCATTTTATATAAAGTATATGCAATTTAGTGTTTAAAGAGGGCCCTGGAAGTAATTCTGGGTGGATACTGGGGAATGGTTTGATTCAGATCCACCTTTTTTGGCCACATCACTATCATGGTTTGGGTTTAGCAGAAAATGTTGATATTTTTGCTTGAGTTTACAAACTTTGATGTCAAAATCTTGAAATTTTGTTTTGATCATTTAAATATTATCAAGATGCATAAATGTGTTACATATTATAAAGTTAAGTAGGATCAGGGAAACAAGTAAGTACTTTAGAAAGTCTCCCTTGACTCAGTTTGTCTTAAGTGGAAGGGAAAGGACTTCCTGTGGTAACTTTAGTAACCTTGTCCATATGTCCCGAAGTCAACTTCATTGTAACACCAGATTCCCTCTGATTCCCACTCCCTGCAAACCTGGACTAACAGCAGATGTGAGAATAGAGTTCTTTCCCTCATCTGATCCTAGAATTCAGTGAGCAAGAATGGAACACCCAGTAATGTAATCCTTCATGTCATGTAGGCTTTGAAATAGAGGAACATATAGAGTAATAGAGTTTCTGAAATAGAGGAACATAGTTTCTGCTAGTATTAGAGACTGAAGTGACTAGTGATTTTTTTTTTTTTAACTCAAGGCAGACATATAGTTCACGCCTTTAATTCTAGCACTCTGGAGGAAGAGGCAGGTAGATCATCTCTAAGTCTGAGGCCAGCCTGGTGTACAAGTTGACCCTGTCTTGGAACAAAAAAACACAGCAAAACAAAAACATACAGACAGAGACAGACAGACAGACACACACACACACACACCATGGATATGATTATATTTCAGATGCCTGGAAACTTTTGGAATACGTTTCTATGAGCTTGTTACATTTTTTTTTTTTGGCTTGAGTTGGTCAATATAGTAGAGATGCAAACCTGAAATAGCATAGACAGAACCTTTGCAGAAAACCACTTAGGAGTTGCCTACTGAATCTCTAAGAGGAAGTGGAGAACAAGCTTAAAGGTCATGATTAAAATCCTTCTGAGAAAACTGTTGTGATCTTTGGTGAGATTAAAAATCGCATTACTGGAACGTAGCCTGCACCATTCAACACATCCAGCCGGCATTACACTGCTAACCGGTGAAATGAGGGCCATGGGTTGGAGTCTCACTCGGACATGCCCCGCAAGGCTCTATTGCAATGTGTGTCTTCTTGATGAGAAGGCACCGCTACCAAAATGCATTTTTGTTCATTAGTATTTCTCTTTAATTTTGGGGTACACTGAGCTAAAACTCCACTGACGAGGTCTGCATGATTTCATTCCACACTCAAAACCATCGTGGACATACCGTTAAGGTTGTCATCTTAAACAAGGAAAAAGTGGAGGACTAAGAGGCTCAGGATTTTGCCCAAGGGTCAAAAGGCAGGTTGCACAGCCTGTGTGGCTCCAGTGCCCATTTGCAGACCCTGACCTTACAGTACTGCCCACAGATGAAGAATGCTTCCCGCCTCTGTCTAAAGTGCACCAAATAGACTTGACCTTCCATGTACAGGCATACCTTTTTTTTTCCTTCTTGAGACAGGGTCACTATGTAGTCCTGGTTGGCCTCAAATTTGTGGTCCTTTTGCCTCAGACTCAAAGTTCTAGGATTGTAACATGTACCACAACAGCTTCCCTAGGTAAGCCTTTAATAAGTGGCATTTCCAGCTCTCAGATTTAGTTTCCTTTAGAAGGAGAGGGGAAAATGGGAAATAGAGCCTCTTCTGGCACAACAGAACCTTCTCATTTGCAAATGGAATTCCCATTCTGACCACTGTTAGCTCAGCCATTGCAACATAAACTATGAATGATCAAAACTGCCAAATCAAAACCGCCAGGCTAACTCAGGCCAGCTGCTGGATTTTGTGCAGCTCAGAGAGCTAAGAATGCTTTTCAAAAATAGTGTTTTAAGTAGCTGAAAATATCAAAATATAAATCATAAATTGTGATGTAGAAATCGTACAAAAGTGACCCACAGTAAATGGTTTGTGAATGGTGGACTTGGAGTGATGTGTCAATATACGTACATCTATTGTAACTAAGGCACCACTTCTATTGGGGTGTAAACAGTAGAGGAAGCTCTGCGTGGAGGTGGGGAGAACAGGAGCTACCTCTATGTCCTGCTTTCTACTCTTAGGAACATAAAGCAGCTCTAAAAGTTATAGGCTATTAAAACACCTGTCAGTCTCAGTGTCCATAAGTAAGGTTTTATTGGTGCACAGCTGTACCCATTCATTCGTATATTGCCTATAGCTGTTTTTGCATTACAAGAGTTGAGCAGCTGAGACCTGAAAAGCATTTACTCTGTGGGGAGAAGTCTTCTGAATGTCCATTCCATTGCCTCTGGTACTGACTAAGCTGCTGGATGACAAGTGTTGTCCCCAGAGCTAAAATTCTTCTCCTTTCTTACATTTACCAGTTGTGAGACATTTAACAAGTCTCAATCTTGTTAGCAACCCCCACACCGTTTACTCATCCTTTGAATGGCAGATCAAGTCCTATAGGACACTTAAAGGACCAGTTAAGAGTTAAATGAAGTAATAAAGCACCAAACAGATCAGCAATAGCTCATTTTGACTTTGAAAATCTGCCTTTCTCTTATGCCTCCCCTTTTAGAATCTGAATGTGTCTTTCTCAGTTACCTGCTATATTTATGGGAAAGGTGAATTTTTAAAAAAGCAATTAAAAAGGAGGACATGATAGCTTCTAAGAAGTTGAGGTTTTTATTGTAGATGTAGGGAAGAACACAGCAGAGGCAGAGACATGTGGGAAAGTCTGGAGTGGACTTAACTGGCAGACTGAGTTGGGCCATGTGAGGAGAGGGGGAAGAAGAGAGGAGAAGAGTCCCTGGGCTGGAGAACTTTAGGGTAGGGTCAGGGTATACCAGCCAGGAGGACCCTGTACCAGGTAGGGACTGAGGGAGGCTGGACGAACCTGGTGGCCAGCATCTGCTTTGGTGTGCTAATAGGCACCTCCTCAGTCCATTGTCCCGGGTTGAGACCTAACAGAAGGTACATTAGTCTGCTCAGAAGCCCCCTCCTCACCAACACTCATGGCTATGTCCCTTGCTCCTCTTTTATCATCAGGCTTGTCCTTGATCAAAGTCAGTTCCAGGGAAGTAGCTGCTTATGCCTGCATCTGCCAGGTTGAAAGTGCCAGCAAGGCACTTAACCGTTTCCTTAACCATTACCAGGTGGCACCTTCGCACTTCCAAGCATTGATCCAAACACTCCTGCTCTTCCCTACTTCCTATATCGGAACTATCGATGATGCATTGGCGTTTACGCTGAACTCCCACAGATTCACTGGATTCTTGACTAAAACTATGGTTTAATTTGTTCTAAAGACTTCAAAGATTCTTATTCCATAAAAAAATATCATTATTATCCAAGACATTCTGGAGAGGTGAGAATCCCAAAGATGTCCATCTTATAAGCCTCAAGCAAAGGCTCTGTTATTTTAGTGACAAAATATTTAGATCCAACAATGAGGCTGCCATTATGTGCTGTGCGTTTTTCTGGACATAAACTCTCCACTATTGCAGCCCATGACAATGGGCCTTTTAAGAGTCTTTGGACTTTTAAAATTCTTTGACTCTATTAATTTCTCACTTTGGACAAAAAAATTATTTTTCTGGTAAAAACATTTTTCTGGAGGCACTTTTGTAAAGGAGGACTAGTATTGATCACATGGCACAGCAGGTTAGGAAATGAAGTAAATCAGAAATAATTGAGTGTAAATGAAACACATAATGCTTTTCTTTCATTCCATAAAATGTGTGTTTGCAAGCCATTTGCACTTCATCTCAGTCCTGGAAAGGTAAAGGAATTCCTTTTCCACCTGCTGGAATTCAAGCTCTCAGCTCACCAGTGTCAGAGTTCAGGCCAGCTGCCTCCTCAACCTCATGCAGACAGGAGCTGTGTTGCTGGGCTGTGTGTCCTTGAAAACTAAAGCACTTCTGTCTGAAAGTCAGGCTGGAGGAGGACTCAGAAACAGCTCTTGGTCTCTAGGCATCTTGTTCTTATTCACTGCCAGTTTTGCAGAACTTGGTTAGAAATCTCACAAATAGAGTATCAGGGAGAGGTGAGAGCAGTGTGGAATTGAAGCAGACATTCACTTTCTGAGTGATGTGAGGTCTCTTCTAAAGTCTTTCATTCCATTTGCCAAACCATGAGAAAGTTTGGCCTTATTTATTTCTTTATTTCTTTATTTATTTAAAAGCAAGCTGAACACGTTATACAGAAGGTATGGTCAATTATCTGCTTAAGATGGTGATTTGTAATGGAAAGGAAAAATTATTAGCCTGGAAAATTTGTATTTAATTCTTCTGAAATCCACGTTGGGGTTTAAATGTCCAGTCATGTGGGTGAGGGCCACCAAATGCTTTCCCTGTGTGTCTAAAGCAAGAAGTTTGGTAATGTTTCTCTTGCCCCTTTACGGTCTTCCGTATCTGGGGCAGCGTTTGGGAGGGGCTGGATTATCCTAGCTCCAGCCCCAGCGGTCCCAGTTCATTTCCTCTCTGCCTCATCAGAGCGCTGTCGACGGTTGAGAAACTCAATTTGGGTCTGGAGTGAGTGCAGCTGCATCTGGAGTCAGCAGCAGCAGCAGCAGCAGCAGCAGCAGCAGCAGCAGCGGCAGCGGCAGCGGCAGCGGCAGCGGCAGCAGCAGCAGAGAGCCACAAGGCGGCGACTGTGAGCTTTCGGGTACTGCATAGACACCTGGAGATTGATGTCTGGGGATGGCACCAGAAGCCTGGGGAGAGGTAACCTTCAAGACTTGGACCCTCGGGCTGAGGGAGAGGCGTGGTGGGGCTGCTCTCTCTGGACAGGAGTAACTGGGCCTTGGCCTGTAAACTAGAGGATAGAAGACAGACTTGGACGGCTCCGCTGCACAAAACTGTGTGCAAGTGTCCTCTCTGGAACTTGAGAGGCTCAGTACACAGACTCCTCCCGGAATGTCCGTGAGGTTAGCAAGTCCCCTCCCCCCAGGGCTAACCAGATTCTCCATCTTCTCACCCCTGCCCCTCCCTGCAGGAAGCTGTGCCCCAGGGCCAGTCCCCGAGGGTGTGATCCGCATCTACAGCATGCGGTTCTGCCCCTACTCGCACAGGACTCGCCTGGTCCTCAAGGCCAAAGGCATCAGGTGAGAAACCGAGGCCAAGTGTTCCCTGAGCACGTTGTTCACCCCTCATCTCCAGGGAGAGATATTTAAAGTCTCGGGCTCCTAGAGGGACTCCTCTTCTCTTCTTCTGAGGCTGAGTGACTCCAAGGACTGATTTTGTGTAGCCTTTCCTGAAACACTGAGTTCTTTTCCAGATCAGATTTTCATGAACTTTCAGACAAGGCAGAGTAAATTGAATGATGCTGTTGGTGAACTGGTCCCCACCCACCCACTATTTAGGAAGGGCACAGCCAAGCTCATTGAGGCCCCCTCACTGCACTGATGTAAGCCTACCTCTGCCCCAAGCAGCGTGGATTAACCGTTCTATTTCATCATGGTGCTTAGCTATGTCCAACATTTCCCAATTCATTCTTTCTACCACCTCTTCACCTCTCCCCCACCCTGTGGCAACCATAAACAGAAAGGAGTGGGGGGAGGGGAAGAGTCTGCCTCATTGGAGGACCAGAAGAGAGCCTGGCACTCAGTAGGTATTCAGGAAGTGTTTGTTGGGGATGTAGCTGAGTTGGTAGGAGTCTCAGCATGCATGAGACACTGGTTCACATGCCCAGTTACCACTTGAAACCAAGTGTGGAGGAACATCCTGTGATCTCAGAACTTGGGGGACCAGGCAGGGGGATCAGAAGTTCAAGAGCGCTCTTGCTTACATATCAAGTTCCAGGTCAGCCTTGGCCACATAAGACCCTGCCTCACACACAAAACTCAAGTGTCGCTCCAGCCTCTGGAGTGACAGGGCTTGGGAAGTCCATCGTAGGAGTTGGCATCCGAGTTTCAGTTCATGTCAATGAATAGGGAGACCAATATGGAGATATTTTAAATAAAATGATGTTAACTCTGTACACATGCATAGATATAACATACATTTCCAGATTATTCTCTGCTGGCTCAAATCTATTTAGCCCTATGGTTACCTGTTCTTTTTGTTTGCTTTTAGAAAAATCAGAGCAATACAATGTGTTGCTAATTTGGGGACAAACTGACAGCTTAGGAAATGATACAGATATTTCTGGGGTTTTGTTGTTTGTTTTGAAACAGGGTCTTATGTAGCACAGGCTGACCACACATGTGTCTGAGGATGACCTTGAACTTTTGATCCTTCTGGCTTTCCCTCCAGAGTGTTGGAATTACAGCAGCAATGTGTCACCATGCCCGGCTTGTGCGATGCTGGGGATGGAACCCAGGGCTTCCTGCAGCTGGGCAAGCATGTTACCAACTATACTACGTGCCCAGACCCGGGACTGCTTTCCGAGTGGAGTTTCTCAGCCTTAGCGCCACTGACCGGCATCTGGGGCCAGACGATTCTTTGCTGGGGAGAGGAAAGGGGGTTGTCTTGTGTACCCCAGGTTGTCTGCCAGTATTCCTACCTTTACCCACTAGGATCGTACCCCACTCCGAGGGTGAAAATCAAAGTGTCCCTAGATATTGATATTCATTCCTTGCATGTGGAAGAGGTAAAATAATCTTGTTAAGAGCCACTGCTTTGAAGAAAGTAACCATTTGTTTCCTTTACTCTTTTGAAACGTGTGTTTGTGCCTCTGGTAACTTCCTGGTTTTGAACCTCCAGTAATAATAACGAGAAGGGGAGGATTGAAAAGTGATTGTATGCTAATTAATGTGCTAGATACACGTGGTCACTGTTTTGATCATCACAATGATACTGAGAGATGGGTACAGGTATTACCTCCTAATAGTTACGGACACTGAGCACAGAGAGGGGAAGGAATTGACTAAGATTTCAACTTGAGTGTACAGCTTGATGTGGGCCTTGTGATCTCAACTGTTAACGTTCACCAGTGTCTGTCATGACCTGTAAACGGAACATATTTTTGTGATTGTTAATGTTTTGGTTTTGAGACAGGGTCTCACTATGTAGCCCATGTGTTCTCTAACTTACAATCCTCCTGCCTCTGTCTCCTGGGTCCTGGGATTCCAGACCTGAGCCACCATGTCCTGTTGGGTTTGTGCTTCCAGCTCTCAGTGCTGTGGCTGGCTGAGTGCGTATGGAGTCAATCAGCCTGGCTCCCTCTTTGCCTCAGCTGCTTCTTAGTAGGTGACATCGGGCGTGCGATTCGATCACAGGAAAAGAGAAGCCACAGAACAACCCACACCTCCGCAGGAACAAACACAAACATGTCACATATTTTACACAAAATGCTCACGTTAAACAGCTCTAAGCACGAAAGTTACAGCCATGTTTGCGAGGCGAGCATCTTCCTGTACACTTCTCTTTTCTAGCCTGACTTTTCCTTTTGTATTTTGTTTGTTTGTTTTTAAGGCATGAAGTTGTCAACATTAACCTAAAATGCAAGCCTGACTGGTACTATACAAAACATCCTTTCGGCCAGATTCCAGTCTTGGAGAATAGCCAGTCTCAACTTGTCTATGAATCTGTCATCGCTTGTGAGTACCTGGATGATGTCTACCCAGGAAGGAAGCTCTTTCCATACGACCCGTATGAACGAGCTCGCCAGAAGATGCTGCTGGAGCTGTTCTCTAAGGTACACACAATTATGAGGAGCCTCATAGACTTGATTTTACTTTGTGTCCCCCAACTTCAGTCCATTCTCAAATCAACCGTGACATAGTTTCATTTTAACCCTGAAGAGTAGCTCCCGGGGGATTAGAGTCAGGTGTGACCACTGACGTCCATAGTGGACGGCAGAAATGCATGTGGCTAGGAACGGAAGTGTTGCAACAGCCGGAACTACGATTCCTTTAACAGGAACGTTTACTTCTCAAGCTCCAGGTACAAAATATCGGAGTGACGTTCTGTGTGGGGGAAGGCTGCCTTCCCAGCAGGGCGAGAGTGACAGCACTCTGGGAAGTGTGACTAGTGGGACAGTCGTGATAATGGAGAAAAGGTGACAGAAATGACAGTTCCCTTTGAAAAGAAAGAGGAACGACGCAGTGCGGGCCAAGGAGACGGCTCAGTGTCAAGTGCTTGGCGCACAAGCACGAGGGCCTGATTTGGGAGCCGCGACAGCACAGAAAAGGCCGACCTGGCAGTGCCTTCCTGTCATCCCCGTGCTGGGTGGGGGACACAGGAGGATCCCAGGGACTTAGTGGCCAGCTAGTCCACCCGAATCTGCAAACTCTGAGTTCACTGAGAAATTCTATCTCGAAAAGCGAGCCACCAAGCCTGATGACCCAAGTTTGATTCCCCTGGACTCATGTGGTGGAAGCCGAGAGTTGTCCTCAGACCTCCACAGGCATTTGGTGGCACTCAAGCATTTGTGCCGCATGTGTGTGCACATGTGTGTGAACTTGCACTACACACACACACACACACACACACACACACACACACACACACAGGAACACAACATGCACACATACATGCATGTGCACATACAAAAAAGTTCATGTACCCAACTTTGCTATTAATAACATTAATTATGCTATTAATTAATGACATATATTGAACATTCAGGATGTTCTAAAACTTCTGTAACTATTGATTCCCTCCCTGGACTGCCCTGGGAGGGGGTATTGTTATGGAACCATTTATCAGATAGGAACACTGAGGCTTAAAGAGGTTAAGTGCCCTCGCTAAGAGTGTACTGCATGGGGTCAGCTGATCAACAGGGGGCACCAAGAACCCTGCTAAAGCCCCTTGGCTCAAGCAGCTGCTGTGAGAAGTGGTCCTTGGAAGCACAGAGATACCCCAGAGCCTCTCACCAAGGACAGGGACATCTGCACATGGCCAAGTCCTCCTGTGCTGGAGTTGGGACGATTCACTGGGCCTCAGAGTGGGGGCAGTTTTCACCAACAGCTCCACTAAGAACCTGTGTCCTCTGTCTAGGTCCCACACTTAACCAAGGAATGTCTGGTAGCGCTGAGATGCGGGAAAGAGTGTTCGGATCTGAAGGCTGCCCTGCGTCAGGAGTTCTGCAACCTGGAAGAGGTATGAAGGAGCGCCTTTCGTCAGAGGAGGTGGACTAAGCTCTGTGTGGTGTCTCTGACCAAGATACCCTGACACGGTCCACGTGCAGACTTTGGGCCAAGCTTTGATGTGGTGCCTTTCTAGCCATCTGACTGTGACCAGCGGATGCTTGCCTCCCTGGCCTGATTTGGAGTCACTTTGAAGAGTTGTCAAGGATGAGCAATGAGTTTGTCCTTTCCTGGCGTTGTGGCATTGTGGCATTCTCTGAGATTTATCTGCCGATGAGGCTGAGGTCTTGGTTAGCGGCTGTGTGGGACCTAACTGCTGAAGGCGTGTCTAAGGATGGTTTACTCTATCACAGTACAAAGCCAGAGGGAGGGAGTTTCTGTGCTTCCTCAAGAAGTTGGCAGGGACCGAGGCTCATCTTTCTCCTTTGTCACATTTAGTGCAAGGTTTTCATCCTTAAAAACAAGATGGCTGCTGGATCTTCCGGCATCACCTTCTGCCCAGGCTCTAGCAAAGAGAATGGAAGAGAAAAGCAGTGAATGGTGGGACCTTCTTACAGGACTCACCCAGAAATCCAGTGACTGCTTCCACCTCGGGGGCCAGAATTTAGTTGTCAGGTCGTGACTCCAGCAGAGGAGGCTGGAGGATTTATCCTTGAGTTGAGATAGCCAGAATAAAATCAGTTTTGTGCATTTTAGAAATGGAAGGTGGTGTGGATGGAGGAGGAGGTCTTTGCTGGTAGTCTGCTGTACCAGGACAGTAATGGAGCTTCCTACCACCCACCCCACCCTGAGTGTACACTGTGGGCCTTCGGCGTTCTTTACATTTGGTCTAGAGACCAATGAATTCTTTTTATGGGTGAGGTTGCTCCTCTGTTGACAGCCAGAAAACTATCTTTATCCCTTTAAGAGAAGGCTAGCTATTAATATTCTTCCATTTGACTCTATCGACTAGGAAGAGATTAAATTCATACACACTCTTTTTTCCTGTCTTAAAGTTGTACAGTTGCTGTATTTTTGGAAAATGAATGGTAAGATATATTAACTTTTATCCTGAGGCCCGAGGCTGCCACGTCCCCACAGAGGCAGTGGATGGTGGGATCATGATTTTAGGTGTGGCTTTGCTGGATTCCAGAGCCTTGTGCAAGAGGAATCCTGGGGGATGGTTCCAGAACTGCTTCACCTACACCAACACTGTGTTTAATCACAGCGTTGAAGAAGGCATCTGATAAGAGATTCTTTGCCCAGGAAGGGCAACACTGCTTTACAAGAAGCAGTTGAAAGCTTTCGGAATAGAGAGATGTTATTGTCTCTTTGGTTGTGGTGGGTTTTGTTTGTTTCTTATTTTTGAGACAGGGTCTCACTATGTAGCCCTTAAACTCATGGAGATCTACCTGTCTGCCTTCCAAGTGCTGGAATTGAAAGTGTGTGTGTTATCACACCCAGCTAAGCTCTCTCTCTCTCTCTCTCTCTCTCTCTCTCTCTCTCTCTCTCTCTCTCTCTCTCTCAGTCTCTCTCTCATCTGAACCAATCTCATCCTGTCTGGTTCCTTTCTCATGATCCATGAATACTGGGTCAGATTACGGAACTGAAAACGAAACCCTGAATCCAGGGATCATTGAAAATACATCTTGGTTGTTCTTGCTGCTCTCTGTGTGGATCTGTGAAGTCAGGATGCCAGGCATGGCTCTTCTCTTCAGCTGGGCTCTCTCTCAGGCCAATCAAGCTGGTGTTCTGCGCCACACATTATGATGTGATGCTTTGTGCACACTGTCTTCCTCTTGGCAGCATCCTGCGCAGGCCACCAGTACTCTGGTACGTTGCAGATCAGAAAGGCTGTAAGCTAACTACGAATGCAAACATGAAGATATCCAGAAGCTCAGTGAGGGAGATGGAGACAACTGTTGAGCTCAGTTTGAAGCAAGTTTGTAGAGTGCTCGGCTGGAGACACGCGGAAGAGAGAGCTGGTGTGTGTGTGTGAGAGAGAGAGCAGAGAAGCAGGGTACCACAGCCAGAAGCCTTCCCCCTGGCTAAGGACTTTCCGCTTGATCCTGAAGTCGATGTGAAGTAACTGCCCACTCCAGGCAGGGAAGTCATGGTTCCTTCCTGCTGCGCTCACTGGTGGGAAGACAGAGGACAGGTTGGAGAGGGGACTTGACTGGAGAGGTGTCAAGCGACTAAGACAAGATGGACTTTGGTGGAGGAACTCACGGTGAGGTTGGTTTCCAAGTTTGTACCCAGTAAACACAAGCTGCTGGGACTTGGAGAGAAGATGCAGTTTGTTGTGTCGTGGTGTACAGGACAGAGATGTGGAGACAGAGCTCAGGAGAGTTCTGGGCACTAGACCTTGGGCACAGTTTTCTCAGCTGGCAGTGTTAACAGAAAATATTGGAATGTATAGGCAGCAGGGTGGTGATGAATATATCACAACACTCCCTGAAAAAAATAAGTAAAAAACAAAACCTTGATTTATAACATTTGCCAATTTCAGTGGCAGAACATCCTCCCAGCAAGGCAGGTTTTTTGTTTTGTTTTATTTTATTTTTTCGAGACAGGGTTTCTCTGTGTAGTTTTGGTGCCTATCCTGGATCTCGCTCTGTAGACCAGGCTGGCCTTGAACTCACAGAGATTCGCCTGCCTCTGCGTCCCGAGTGCTGGGATTAAAGGCGTGCACCATGGCCGCTGGGCACAAGGCTGGTTTTTAAGGTACTGTCTCTGAACCCAGTTGGGAAGAGGTGTGGCCAGCTCCAGTGCTGAACAACACTTTTCTGCTTTGTCATTAGTCAGGGCCTCGAAGCCTTGGCTCTGGTCGCCATGTAAGGACCACTGAATGTCCGGCTTTGTTCCGGTGGGCTTGGGTGGGAGTTTGTCCCACTCTGTTTGGAAGAACATTAGCTGCTACATACATGATATCAGAACCCGAAACGGCCAGTGGATGTGAACATGAGAGCCATTCCTCCAAATATTAATGTACAGACTCTAGGGCCTAGAGTACAGGGTCTAGGAGATCCTAGAGAAATCAAAACTTCCCACAGTCATCTGAAAGAAATGCCCCTTAATTCACACCAACATCTCCCTCCTGTATGGTTTGGTTTGGTTTGCTTGTGTTTGAGACAGGGTCTCATTGTGTAGCTTTGACTGTCGTGGAACTCACCAAATACACCAGGCTGTCCTTGAACTCATAGAAATCTGTCTGCCTTTGCCTCCTGCATGCTAGGATTAAAGGCATGGACCACCATGTTCTTCATGTTGGTTTTACAAGCAGGATTTTGTGTGGGCTGAAAAGCTATTGAACTCACATGGTCTTTCTGAGGGACAAATAAGTTGACATTCTGTGTGTGTGTGTGTGTGTGTGTGTGTGATTTCATGTATGGGATTTGGGTGGGCTGTGGGTCTCCATACACTTCAAGTGGGTTTTACAAGCAGGATTTTGTGTGGTCTGAAAAGCCGTTGAACACACATGATCTTCCTGAGGGACAAATAAGCCGATAGTCTCTCCGTCACTGTCTCTCTGTCTCTGTCTCTCTCTCTCTTTTCACCTGTGGGGGTTCGGGTGGGCTTGTGCCGCAGTGGATCCGTGGAGGTCAGAGGACACTCAGGCGCTGGTCCTTGCCTTCCACCTCATTTGAAACAGAGCCTGTCTTTTGTTATTCGCTGCTATAGCCACCACAGGAGCACTGCTGCTCCTGACACGCGCTCCCCAGCTTTGTGTGGTCCTGAGATTGGAACTCAGGTTCTCCTGTGCACACCCACTGAGCCATCCCCCCAGCCCAGGGCCAAGACTTCAATGCAATATCTGTCATGTTGTAGCGCAGCAAGAAACTCAGCTCGAATTTTGTGGCCCTAAGCTCCAGGTGATGTTTTTCTTTTAAAACACGACCTGTATGATCTTTTGATTTCTTTAAAATGTCCAGTTTCCTGGGTGTGTTGGTATGGGCCTATAATTCTTCATGTAGATGATAAAGATAAGAAGGTCATAAGTTTGAGGCTAGCCTGAGCTATGTAGTGAGATTCTGTCTCAGAAAATAGCAACAATAAACTTTTAAAAATATTAAAAATTCACTTAAGATTGAACATTCATATAATATAAATAAAACTTGCTGTTTTGATTATCAAGTCAACAGCCGGCCCTCCTGCCTGCCTGTTTTGAACCCTGGCAAGCATTTTATACGATTGGGATGCTCTGGTCTAGGCACACTTCAAACCTGCCTTGGAACAAACGTCCTAGCTTTTTTTTTTTTTTTGAATCATTTCTCTAAGAAGTGTCCCCCTTTCAGTTTTATTTTGTGCGGTATTGACTTTCCCACTTGAGCATCACACTGGAGCCAGGCTCTGTGTTTCTCGACTTGGTGGATTCTGGCATGGCAGGACCTATCGGGGGTCTTCTGCTACCGGTGACTTTCTCAAACCATTCTCGTGGAAGTAGTCGTCATCTCTAGTCCAGTGCAGTGCAGTAGCTTTCTAGACTGGCCAGATTTTTTCTGGTGTTTTTTGGTTTCCCCTCATAGTCTGTGATCTTGCCGTTAGGCATTGGCTCTGAGTTCTGGTTTTGCCTGGTTTCTTTCCAGCCATTAGCAGATTTGATGGAGCGAGGGCTGACACAGTGCCCAGGGAATGGGGACCCGAAGTCTTCATCTTCCCATGGCCAGAAGGCACTTTGTGGTTCAGCTTCTTGATGGTTGTTGGTCTGCTTTGTATTCCCATCACTTGCATTCCCGTGCAGAGTTTCCCACATGGCCTAGTCACACGCCTTGTGTGCAGTTTGTCTGAGGGGTGTCTGCTTACATAGTGTGTGTGCCATTCAAAAGCTCCTGTGGTTTATTGAGTTTAAGTTTCACCCATAATCTTAACTTCTTTTTTTTCCTCCTCACCCTCCATCCCATCTTTCCTACATTTTTTTCAGAAGAAAAAATGACTCACTGTGTAGCCCAGGCTCTCTGTCCCCCTGCCTCAGCTTTTCCAGTTCTGGCATTAAAGGCCTGTTCTGCCATACTCAGCCATAATGTCATATGCATAATGTTTAATTTGCATTTTCATCTTTACAAACAAAAAGACATTTTTTGCCCATTTGTTTGTGCTGCTTGGTCAAGTTTACTGTCTTGTAAAAATTGTTCAAGGATGCTGTCCATCTCCACTCTAAGATCATACTAGCTTTCCTTGTTAATTTGTACAGTTCCATTTAAAGAGTTTCTCATATTTGAAGGTTATTTGACTATTTTTAAAACACATTTTTGTTTCCTTTTGTTTTAACTTTTGTGCTAACTTGTCTCTCGTGGGTATGGAAGTATAGCATTTTAACAGGGGAGTATTTCCTGTGGAGCTTTCTCTAATTGTTTTCAGGCACAGGACAGCCCTCTGCCTCCTCAGAGATGTGGAGGGTATTCACTGGTGTTTGCATCCACCATTGCTTTACAATAATTTGGTAACTTTTACAAAATATATTTTGAATAAAAGCATTCAGCCCATTCAAAGGATTGCAGCCGAGGATTTTCAGATTATCTCATCAATCCTCAGATCTTGGCAGCTGTATTTTGCATCTTCATAGAATAACTTGGTCCTAATTGGTGGGTGGGGAATGGTCAGGTCCTGCCAGAGTCTCACCTCTCAACCGTCTTCCCAGCGGAGCGGTTGTTCTTTGCATAGGAACCCTTTCACTGCATTGTGAGTTGAGTCTTGGCTGTCCAGTTTCTGTGTGGCAAGGGCCTGAAATTTAAATCTTGAAACCTCCTCTTATTTTCTTCTGAACTCAAAAGATCTCTGTTCCAGAGCCAAGTGCTTTGCTGTAGCCTCTGGATACGGGCTTGATTCTACTGCTTCTGTCCTGGACGGTGCCTTTGTGCCTTTGCAGAAATGTGTGTGACTTCCAACTCTCAGAATTCTTCCCCTCCTCCACCAAGCACAGGGCATCCAGTGGGAGACACAGCACTGCTTGAGGATCAGAGACCAAGGATTTCCTGGTGATGGACTAAATGATGGCAGGATAAAGCTGGCGGCCATCGCAAGGGTTAAAGATCTTATATTGGACTTTTTGGAATATTTGGTCTAAAGAAGTCTGGGATTAGCTTTTTAAAATCGCTCTTCTGTTACCAGAATTGGGGTGGTATGTGGCCCAAAACAGTACGTGGTCCAAGAAGTAAGTTCCCCCAGTTCTATAACACTTGTTTCTCAAAAGCCTTTAAAGATGTTTTTTCTCTTTAACTTAAGAGAGGGAGCCCTGGCCACTCAACCACACCACCAATGGCCACCAGGGGGAGCTCCACACACTTCTCCCACTTGAGTTCCCTGCTGTTATTCCTCTTTTACCCGTCTAGGGGGAGCCCGAGAGCTCCCTAGCAGGAGGTGAAGGGCTTCTCTGGTTCCTGGGTGGAAATAAGGCATCTTCTCCTCCTTTGTTATTCCTTATCACACCTCTCGTCGTCCTTTTCAGTAACTTGGGAAAAGAGAGCAAATTTTGTATTACTATTTAAAAATTTTTTACTTATTCATATTTTTATTAATCGTTGTGTATATGTATAAAGTGTGTGTGTGTGTGTGTATATGTATAAAGTGTGTGTGTGTGTGTGTGTGTGTGTGTGTGTGTGTGTGTGTGTGAAAGCATACATATGTGGATGTCAGAGGGCAACCTTTTGGTTTTCCTCTGCATAGTCAAGGTGTCTTCCCATGAGCTTCCCTGGATTCCTCAGTTTCAGCCTCATATCTGCAAGGAGTACAGGGATTACAGAGGTCTCATTAATCTATCTGGCTTCAACTATTTTTTTGTTTGTTTTTACCTGGGTTTTGGGGATTTAAACACGTGTTCTCACACTTTCATGGCATGCACATTTATCCTCTGATCCATCTCTCCAACCTCAGAACTGTGGCTGGTGGGAGAAAGGTTGTCCTGGGTCCCATGTTGCATCAGAGGTAAAGCTCAGCACACTGAGCAGATCTTTGAGAACAAAGCCCTGATCATACCACAGCTAAGAGAGCCAGGGCATTTGGAGTGTGCCTGGCTTTGGGTGTCATTTCTGCTCAGTGATGTCCACCTTGAGATTTTTGAAATAGGGTCCCTCACTGGCTTGGGGATTGATGAATCGGTTAGCTCTCTGACAGGGATTCTGGAGGATTCACCTGCTTCCCCCTCCTCAACACTGCTGGGAACACATGTGTGCACCTCCAGGCCAGCCTTTTCTACACGGCTTCTGAGGACCAGATTTAGCTCGTTAGGCTTGTGTGGCAAGCCCTTCACCTACTGTGCCTTCCCCCAGCCCTGAATTTACAGTTGGACCCTTTGTAACGTTCTGCCCCTCGGCAGGCTCTCCAAATCTAAGATGGAAATATCAGCACAGCTCCTTTCCACAGCTCCCTCGGCCCAGCAGTCTCCACTGGCAGCAAGAGACAGGTGTTGAGCTGGTTGCATGCTGTGTAGGTCGGTGTGAGCAGTTGACTTAGCTGTGTAGGTCGGTGTGAGCAGCTGACTTAGCTGTGTAGGTCGGTGTGAGCAGCTGACTTAGCTGTGTAGGCCGGTGTGAGCAGATGACTTAGCTGTGTAGGCCGGTGTGAGCAGCTGACTTAGCTGTGTAGGTCGGTGTGAGCAGCTGACTTAGCTGTGTAGGCCGGTGTGAGCAGTTGACTTAGCTGGGAGCTTGGCCTCCAGCTGTTCTGTTTGGGAAACCGTGGTTCAGCAGTGACTGCCTTTGCTTGGGAAAACTGCAGGCACTTTCTTGTGGCTCTCTGGCTATGGTCTGTCCAAAGTGTTTTCCTTACAGTCCACCTATGTGGGTTGGTTTATCCCACTTGAGAAATTTTTGTATTTTGTTATAGAGTGTTGATGATGTTGAGTAGCATGAAGTTTGAGGAATTTGAATACCAGAAGGACAATGCTAGGATGCAAGGGAACCCACTGAACGACATTGATCTGTCCAGCCTTAGATCTGAACCCGTTGAGAGGTCAAAAGAATGACCATTGGAGAGTGCAGCATCCCCTTTAGTATAAAGAGTGTGTGGGAGATGAGGTCACAACTCCAGCAAGTGGGGTTTCTACTGCTGCTTCTTAGCAAATGGCTCACTTTTCATGTCCCTGGGAATGGGCAATGCTGGCCTAAAGCAAGCTTCCCAGCTCAAAGCTGAGATGATCTGGAGACAGCCTAGGACTTGGAGGAGCCTGTCCCAGGCTGGGGGAAGGGCTGGGCCATCTCTGCCTGGGTTGCTCTTGACTAACTCCAGTCAAATGAGCCAGCCATGTTGTTCGTTCAGTGTTGAAGGGAGGCAGGGAACAGGATGTGGCCAAGACTGTGGCCCTGAAGGAGCTAGGCCAATGCTGGCGGAGGGAGGAAGCGGTCTCTTGGAAATGGAACACTGACAAGCTAGCTCTCTCTCCTTCCTTGTAATTAACTGTCGTTTTTATTTAGCATCTGTAAACATGTCAGCAAATGTGTAAATTAACTGGCTATTGTTCTGTGTATATTTCTAGATTCTTGAATATCAGAGCACTACCTTCTTTGGTGGAGACCGAATATCCATGATTGATTACCTCTTCTGGCCCTGGTTTGAGCGGCTGGATGTATATGGACTGGCTGAGTAAGACATTTGACTATGTGACTGCAAATTCACTGAATGTCAATTGTTGAGATGCTCTGGGTACCACTAACTCCCCTGTGGACTGTCTCAGCATTTGTGAAACAAAAATCAGGGCTGGAAGCCACTCATGCATGCTTCCTTGTCCAAAACGCACCTGTGTTCTTCTCCCACTAAGTACAGGCTCATGTGTCACCTACATCTCTGTGGCTAAGACTCTGTGCAAAAGCCTCCCTGGTGCTTCAGAGTCTGCTGTCCCCTGTGATTCACACAGACGAAATCATCTGTAGCGCCTCCCGTGGCCGCACACCTGGGCCTACGGAGTCACAGCACATGCCACACACCTGAGTCCCATCCCACATCCCCCAAATAGGAATGACCTTTAAAAACCAGAAGGTGCCAAAAACAATGTGTGCACTCTTCATGTAAACAAATGGCAGCCACATATCACGGGAGTATCACACTCCCGTGTTTAAAGTGTGGCAGGGCTATTTAAAGCTTGGTCACCTCGAAGCTCAGAGGTGACACCGGACGCAAGAACTGCTGCCCACTCAGATCTCTGCCAGCCACATTAGGCATGCTGAACACTTGTAGTATTTGAAAAGTAGTATTCTTCCAATCAGACATAAGGTGACTGGATATTTAGACATGCAGATAAGTTATAAAAACTCATCTCCCAGATTGTCCTGGCTCCCATCCACCAGCTCTCTTACCTTAGCTTATCATCTTGGAGACCCTAGAACCCGACTTCCCCTGTGCATCTTTGAAAAGGCCCGTATTTCAAGGTTTCATGATTATTTTATTTATTGTAAAGGTGTTTGGGAAACTGCTCTCCTTTTCAAAGCCGTAAAAGTAAAATCTGCAAATGGCCCAAGACTGTTAGCTTGAGAGGGTATTGGTCGGTCAGTCAGCAATGAATGGAAGACACTTGATCCCCCTGCCTCAGTTCATGAGCATTTTATCACCTTCACAGAAGCCATTGTATTAATGTCAACAGTTGGACACACAGTTCCAAGAAAGGCTTTTTCCTTGGCAAAGATCAGGCTTCCTGCATAGTAACTAAGCTTACCATATTCCCAAAGAGACCCATAGTTTTGTTTCAGTCCAGTGCATAAAGTGCTAAACGCCTCTTTGCCAATGCTTCCCTTCTGCTGTCTTGCAGCTGCGTGAATCACACCCCGATGCTCCGGATCTGGATCGCCACCATGAAGCAGGACCCCGCAGTCTGTGCCCTGCTCATCGATAAGAATGTTTTCCTAGGCTTTCTGAATCTCTATTTTCAGAACAACCCTTGTGCCTTTGACTTTGGGCTGTGTTACCCAGCCATTCGGTAACTGCTGCATTGCCCAGGGTTCTCAGAGTATCTGATTCTGCATCATGGGTTGTCTTGGGGGGGTCAGTGCATTTTTTTGAGGTCTTTAATAAATGTGGAAATGAAGAATATAGACTAATCATCATGTGTCTGACCCCTGTAGCCTGTAGCTTCTCATGATTCTCTGAAGTGGAAGTGCTTTTGGGAGCTGGAGTGACTCCAGGCTCCTTGGCCTTTGGAACGCTCCAAAAGCCTCTCTGGTGAGAAGGAACCCTGAGAAGAAGGAGGAAGAGGAGAAGGAAGAGGAAGAAGAAGGATGGGATGAAGAGGAGGAGAGGGGGAAAGAAGAAATCAACCCCACATACTCTATGTTGAAATATCATTCTTTTAGCAGAGAAACACGCTGCCCACATGGAAAGGCATGCGTATCATTTCTATTCAAACTTTGGCCATGGGCCTGGGAGACACCCAAGGGTCTTGTGACTGGAAAAAATTCTAAAGCAGGAAATGAAACACCCATTTATCACTCTGGACTAACTACGTCAGAATCTCACTGGTGTTACTGGAGCTCAGGATGTCTCACAAAATGTTTTATTAACCAGCATCCTGTCTCCAAAACACCCTCCCCTCTCATCCCAGTCACAGGCCAAGGTCACTTCTGGATATGCGTCACATACCCAGTTGGTTCCAACGGATGCCTCCTGTTGCGTATTGGGTACCAAATCCTGGACCATGGGGAGGGGAGGCTAACACCGATGAAGACACGGACCCTGCCCCATGGACCGTATCTCGGCATCAGCTTGGCCCAGCGTTTAGCTGTGGTGTGCTGGCCTTGCCTTGCAGTGACGGTTTGGCTTGGCTTCCACGTAGCCCTCCATCAACCTGTCCAGGCAGTGCCGTGCCACCAAAGACTGAGCAGGCAGTAGACTGTGGAGGGCGGCTGGTCTGCCAGCGGGTGCCTTCAGCTGGGAGCTGCTGTCACCTCCCCTGAGGAGGGCTGACACTGTCCCATGCTGTTGGATGCCAGCGCATCATCAGCCTGCGGTCGTTTTGGCTTTGTTCTCACTTCACATTCTTCCAGCACCCCAGCCATGCAAAGAGGCCAGGCAACAGCAAGAGTGATGTTTTGACTTCTCCATGCCCCGGCTTTGGACTCTGTCCACATCAGCCCCGCCCCTCTCCTGGCATCTCAGCTGGCTCTGCTATCTGCTGGCTGTGGGCTTATTTTACACCATATAGTTACCAGGTGCTACTCCATGCCAGTTGCACATAGGCAGACCTCTTTGGTAAGGTGATCAGGCCTGCCAGAAAAGGCACCATGTGACAGGCAGTGTGTGGTACCATCTGCTCCGGATGTGGTGCCCCGTTGCCATGGTACCCAAGTTACTGTAGAGTAGAGTCTGTGAATCACTGTTTCCTGGGATCTATGCTTGGAAAGAGGGAATCATTCCTGCGATCTCCACTGGGGCTGCAGGAACTGATGAATTCTGCAGGTGTCTAGAGAGGCTCCAGCTTATGGCCGAACTGTTGTTGGTACATAGAACTTGCCACATCTCTGAGTTAGAAAGGTGGAGGTATACTCTTGAGGCTTTACACAGTAACATAAAGATTGAAGAACCTGGAACATGGGCTGGAGAAAAATGCTCATTGGGGGAGAGGTTGCAGGCTGATGGTCCTCACCTCATCTGGGTTTCAAATGCCCTTTGGGTATGTGTGACTTCTGCAGGCTTCCAGAGTCCCGGTTGTATTCACAACCTTGAACTTATTCCTTCTTGTTTCTTTTTGCTATTATTTTTCTTCCTTAAAAATTTATTTTTTTTTACATATATATAAATGTTTTGCCTGCAGGTATGTATGTGCACCATGTTCACGCCTGGTACCTGAGGAGGAGGTCAGAAGAGGGCATAAGAGCCCCTGGAACTGAGTTACATGTCTGTGAGCCACCACGTGGTGCTGGGAATCAAACCCAGGTCCTCTGGAAGAGAACAAATGACCTTAACCACTGAGCTATCTCCCCCACCCCTCTGGCTTCTTGATGTCACTTTCCTGACTCATACAAGAGATGGAGTCACCAATCTCTGGCTGAAACTAGGAGTACAGAGCCTGAGGAATATGAGACAAATCAATTATGTTTCATGAACACAGAGTTTTTATGGGGGTTGGGGAAGAAAAAATATGTTGAGAATTAATTATAGCTAGAGTGATGGCTCAGTAAAGTGTCACACAACTGTGAGGGCCTGAGTTTGGATGCCTAGCACTCATGTGAGGAGCTGGACATGGAGGCACATACCTGTAATCCCAGCACTGGGGAGGCACAGGAGGATCCCAGAGCTTACTATCCAAGCTAGTCTAGTTAGGTCTGTGTGCCCGAGGAGCAATGGGAGACTTTGTCTCAAGAAATAAGTTTGAGAGCCTGGAGAGATGGCTCAGTGGTTAAGAACACTAGAGGACCCTGGTTCCATTCCCAGCACCCACATGGTGCCTCACAGCCATCTGTAACTCCAGTTCCAAGAATCTAGCCCTCTCTGCTAGCTTCCAAGGGCATGGAACATGTGGTACACAGCATACATGCAGGCAACACACACACAGACACACACACACACACACACACACACAAAATGATTGTTTACATGTGGAGAACAATAGAGGAAGATACCTAATGCTGGCCTCTGGCCTCCATGTGCCCACATGTGTACATGTGTACATGCATACCCCACACTCACACAAATAAGTGCAATAATGTGAAAAGAAGGAAGTCTTGTATATTCTCCTCCAGAGAACCATTTTTGACACTGGTTGTCTTGCCGGGAGCATTTGAAACCTTGAGACTTAAGTTGCAAGAGCCCCATCTCCAGAAGCATTTGAAGTCCGCTATGGTTGTGTATGATTCTCACACCAGAGCTCATAAGCAGGGAATGCTGGGCAGGCAGCGTTCTCACCTGGGGAGGTTGTGAACTGGAGCGTCGTCTAGACTGAGTCCCGTTACGTCATAGCTGGACCCCGCGGCAGAGGGTGCGTGTAGCTGAGCCTGCAGTGATGGTAGCTGTGGGTATGATGACAAAATGTTATCTGAAATTCTTTCTGGGTCGCAAGTTCTCTGATCTCAGCCAGTAGACGTGGCTGTGCCTGTTAAAGGGAGTTTAATCTAGATTACACTGTCCTTGTCCAATGCCAGGCCTGCTGTGTACCATAGTGCCGCGAAGCTTTGCTCTCGGTGGGGGATGGTCTCTCCCTTGATAGTTCACCTTCAGGTCTCCCAGGGTGCGCATACCCTTCATCATTGCATGGCTTCCTCCCTCTCTCTCCTATTCTCTCTCTGTTTCTGTCTCTGTCTGTCTGTCTGTCTGTCTCTTTCACACACATACACACACACACACACACACACACACACATACACACACACAGACACACTTACAGCTCACAGTCTCCCTTGTAGCCCAGGTTGACTTTTAACTCTTTTCTTATCCACTGAAAAGTAATTCATTTGCTTTTAGAAAGTCTTGTTGAGTGTTTTGAAGTTAATAAGCAGTTTTTTTTTTTTTTTTTTTTTAGAGAAACCCAGAGAGAAGGACATGGATTATTCATGATGAGTTCAGCCAGTGCGGCCACTAGGGGTCTCTGGTAGAAAGTGGCTTCTGACTTTGGATCCTCCCACCCTTGCTCCTGAGTGCTGGGGCTATAGGTTGTGTGCCAGCAGGCCACCATGCCCAGCATGGCTTTCTTGGTGGAGAGGGACTGGGATGCTCCATGTTGACCATGCTACATGTCTGCTTTTTACCGGCTTGTCTGTTGAAGTCTCCATCACTACAGACTCATTATGAGCCCCAGTGGTTTCCCATGACTTGCCTCCAGCCCCTTCCTCCCAGCATTGCCACTGGAACACAGAAGGACCCCAGAACTGTACTACTGACTGTGGTCAGGACAGCGACATGTGTGTGTCATGGAAGAACTATGGAATGCCCGACCGTGTCATGCCCTCCCCACCATGACCACAGCCGCTTCGGACAGCAATGGTCCTTAGCCAACTTTACCATTAGCAGCCATCTTCCCGCTTAAGCAACCATCATCTCCCAACCTGGATCAGGCAGTAAAGGCCTGACCTAGATCTGAGGACAAGGCAACAGAGGTAGAGGGGTGTCGAATCTGAAGAAACCCTGAGCAGATCAGCCTCTCAACCGCTCAGATGAGGTGGAGAGTGGGAAGATGAACGTCCGGTTTCAGCTTTGGTAAATTGGGCTTATGCTTGTGAGCATGA